CGGAAGCCATTTCTACTCGCAATGCCCCCGCCCTTCGCTCGCCACTCCCACACCTCGAAAACATAATCACATCCGAATCACCCACCTCCTGAGAATTCACCGGCAGAATATCATTCATGATACCTATGGTTGCGTCAGCGTGCGCGTCATTAATTATTTCGGGCACCACGAAAAGACCGAACCGCCGTTTTGACCTGCTGGGTCCATCACGCATAACATGCGTCTGACCAAGTCAGCTTACCGCCGAAGAACCTCAACTATAATGTGTTCCTATATGGTTCCTTGTAGACTTGCGAAGGATGACCAGTTGGCTGCTCGGGCACGAGACTAGGCGCCGAGGCACCAAAATGCAGCCGAATCCTACCATCCTGCATGTTCACCATCACGCGAGGTGGCGTAGAACCTACTCATGGCAAGTGCTAGCATTGAATTTGCTGAACAATAGCTACAAACTCGGCGCATCTCTTCATGCCCTACACGTCCTTCGACAACGACGACGACGACAGGAGCCACCTGGCAGCGCAGGTATTGGCATCTCGACAGTGGCACCCATAAGCGGAGGCGATGATAAGGATCACCCTGTTGAACCGCTACTCCTGAGATGGTTCACCTGTGTCCTGGGCGTTATGCTGGCCGATCACAAAGCGGAACCGCTAGCACAGAACAACGACGTTACGCAATAGGAATAACAATCAACAATACAACGAAGGCGGGAGAGCATTTGCACATGCGTCGCAGGGCATGGACATGATATGGATGATGCATGCATCCGGAGACGTGAAGGTTGTCAGATCCAGCATTCGAGATCGTTTTGCTGCGCATTTGGTTTTTCTTCAACAAAGTTCAAGATGCCGAACGTATAAATGGAACGCCCACGACTAGCCTGGCGAGCTATACTAGCATCCGCAAGCTCTGCCGCTTTATGCGTACTTTCGCGCCATGGCAGCGGCTACGTCAGCGCAATAAGCTCCTCGCAATTCACGAGGTGCACAGCGGGGTAGCTGCGTTGTGGCTGCGCTCAAGCTCATACTGTAGTTGTGCAGCTTTGCGCCTAAGTTAATGTCTTGAAATTTGGAATTACTACCTCAGCACGCGTCATATTTGATGATTTGCAGGGAGGAGGCAACGTAGCCACTAACTACAATGTGAAGACGCGCAAGTATGCGACGAACACACCACGTATGACGCGCTATAGACGATCTTGGTTGATCATAGATGTAACTAATCCGACCATGAATTAATCTGACCAGACCATCCAAATACTTGGCCTGACCATGGACTTGGCCAGCCTGACCATGTGAACTGTTGAGCTGCCCTCGAAAGTTGAGCTGTCCTTCAAAGCTAATCAGACCTCGGAAGCCGAGCTGACCTAGGACACAGCTCGCCCGACGGCTGAAAGCTCACCCGACTATGACTAGCAGTTCATCCGGCCATGACTAGGAGCTAATCAGACCATGACTAAGACCTAAGAGGCTAGGGTCATCCCCGAATGATCGAGACTAAGAGTTCACCCGACCATCGCTAAGAGCTGGGCTGACCTTGACTAGAGCTAAGCTGGCCATGAGTAGAGCTAAGCTGACCATGTGCATGAGTTCATCTGACCATGGAATTGGGACGAGCCAACTAATACTCCAACCTCAACCGACAGATGCGCGTGGGTTCCTTGTTCAAGACGGAAGTGGTCATATCTTCTGTCCTCAACGTGGAACCCACGTGCATAAATTGATCGAACTTGTAGCTTCGGTATGTGTGGCGAAATTGTATTACAAGTGTAAAGCTACCCACGAGCAGTCGCTCAGCCTCCTCATCTTCAGCGTCAAGAATCCAGTCCATCTCCCATCTACCGTATCTCAGTGCCTCCCATCACCACGCCCATCCTACAACTCCTCCTTATCCTCCTCATCAACCTCTGTATCCTTAATAGGATCCTCTTCGGCATCGCGAATAGCCTTGGCAAATTCTTCCGCCTCTTTAGGACTATTCGCAAACAAGTGTTCCCGGACAAGTCTCTGCGGTGTCTCGCCAAGCCACTGGAACAAGCTAAAGTCCTGGTACTTGTCTGTACGGAAGATTTCGAGCACCTCGACGTCCTCATCGTCGGACAGGTTCTCGATGAAGTGGCCCATATTGCGAGGAATGACGCCTACGTCGCCGGCTTGGAAGTCGAATGTGCGCGCTGTGCCTTTGGCGGCGAAGATTGTTACGCGGGCACGGCCAGCGATGAAGAAGGACCATTCGTCTGCGTTGGCTGTGGTGAAGAGTTAGTATGGAACGATGGATGGGTAAGTGAGTGACTTACGGTGCCAATGCATCTCGCGGATTGCGCCAGGTTGAATGCTCAAGTGTGCTGCAGCGACAGTCTTGGAGATGGGGAAGTTTGTCGAATCGGTGATGCGAACTTGACCACCAGTCGTGTTGACAGGCTCCTGGGCAAGCATCTTGTGAGTAAATTGGATCTTCGACTTCTTGTATCCCTTGCCGCCACTTGGAACCTCATCGTCGATGGGACCGGGCTCTGAGCCCTGGAAGATGTACTTTTCCTTCTCGGGAATTGCCTTGAAGACTTCTGGCGAAACGCGGAAGTTCTCACCCAAGACGGACTTGGGTGTCAGTCTCATCCAATCGGTGAGCAGGAAAGTAGAGTCCTCAGAGAAGTTGCCATCGTCGAACACGAGTAGGAACTCGGTGCCGTTGGGGCTCAGGCCTTGCAGCGAGTGAGGGTGGCCAGAGGGGAAGTACCATAGGTCACCCTTCTCCAGGTCATCGACGAAGGAGCCACCTTCAGGATCGAGAGCAGTGATGCGGACCTTGCCTTCGAGGACATATGCCCATTCGGCTTCCTTGTGCCAGTGGAGTTCACGAATGACGCCTTCCTCAAGACGCATGTTCACGCCGGCTAGCTCCTTGCTAGTACCCAGCTCGCGAACAGTCGTCTCGCGCGTCCAGCCACCCTCCTCGATACGGATATGCGAGTCGGCAAAGGACCATCGCATGTTGGGGATCGCGCCATGGTCGGTGCTGGGTGGGCGGACGAGATCTGGGTTTTGTCGTTCGCGCGCTCGGTTGCGAGGCCCTAGAACACTCGCTCCGTCACCATTGCGCTGGAAACTTTGTTAGCATGTTGACCATCATCGAGCTAGATATTCGTCGTTCCGCGGAGGAATGATCTCAATGATGGACTCACGTAGGGTAGTGGCTGAAGCTTGTCGCCTTGCGAATCAATCTTCTTGTCAAATGGATCATTGTTGCCAGGCTTGTACGGGTTGAAGACTTTGTTAGGTCCTGCGTGGTGTCGCGCACTGCCAGCCAGCGGTTGTTGTTGCTCTAATGGCGCAGCCACGGCACCACATACGCCAAGCGCGACCAGTAACGACGGAAGATGCATGACGGCTTCAACTGACCTCAAGTGAAGAAGCTGAAGAGGATCGCGAAGTCGAAAGTTTATTCACCCGGCAGACGACGCCCTTTTGACATGCCGCGTGCATTGCGCGTCCTGCGATGCCGTGTGCCGATGACGACAGTCTAGCCATGATTATTTATGATGCTTGCTTGACACTAAGCAATCAACCAACCACTCCCACGCCATCTCCGCGCATCAATCACCATTTTTCCACGCACCATACCCACCAAAACCGTTTCCCCGCACACCAAACGCATTGCTTGTACATGTACAGCCACATCAGGAAGGTCTTCAAGCCACACGTCCTGAGATATCCTGCAATTGCCGCAGCGGGCGTCGAAAGCTTAACTGAAGCTTGAGTCGAAGTGCCTGTCGATCTGCACGCTGGCTCGCGTCTTCCCGGTTGTGCTGACGCGGTTATCTGCACCCCGCCCTAACTGACATAACTACCGGTCCTCGCAGCCCTCGCAATATACGACTACACGATCTCATCCCACACGTGCAACCATGAGCAGCGTATCGCGCAGAGACGCCACGCGCAGCGGCGCAGACGAGGAAACGCCGCTTCTCGGCCGAAATGGACCAGCCGGCGGAAAATCGGACAGCAAGGGGACTATGCAGCGGCTCAAACGGCACATGAATGCCGATGTTACGAAGAACTGGGCAGATCTTGTTTTGCTGTATTGCTACATTGTTACGGGGCTACTGGATAGCTCGGCTGTGTTCATATGGGGCTCTTTCGTGAGCATGCAGACGGGTGAGTAAGACGCGCCATCTTTCCTGGACTCGATGCTTACTCAACATACAGGTAACACCGTGTATCTTGGCTTGGGCATTGTTGCACCTTCTGAGGGCATACGTTGGATCAAGGCATTGACGTCCATTGTCGCGTTCTGTGCTGGCTCGTTCTGCTTTGCGCGCTTTCATCGCTACTTCTCACCTGCCAAGAGATGGGTGCTCATAGTATCCTACATGTTCCAGACGCTACTCATTGCTGTCGCTGCATTGATTGCTACTGTCGGGAAAGACACGAAAGAAGGCCTTCATTGGCAAATGATTGTTCCGCTCGCTTCAGTCGCTTTCCAATCCAGTGGACAGGCAGTCACGTCACGCGCCTTGAAGTACAACGGTCTGACCAGTGTCGTGCTCACGAGCAACTACTGCGATCTCTTTTCTGACCCTCAGCTGTTCAAGATTTCGAATGTGGAGCGCAACAGGAGGATTGCTGCACCCGCGATGCTGCTGTTGGGAGCCTGCATCGGCGGATTGTACGCGCACAGCAGTGTAGGTCTCGCAGGTGCCTTGTGGACCGCTTGTGGGTTGAAGCTCTTGGCTGTCTTCGCGTGGGTCTTTTGGAAGTCGGAAGTCATTGTGGAAGAATGAAATGTCGCTCCGACAAGAAATTTTGGTCGCCCTGTAGAGGCCGTCCTGTTGGTCTCAGTCAGCCACGCCCAACCATGGTACCACCGTCGCAACAAAACCTACACTATATCATTCTATATCCTGCCCACAGCTATCTCCAAACATTACTCATCTATCTTTTGGACTTACATCTCGATAATTCCCTCTGCCCGAAAACAAACCGTGTCTACAATACAAGATGAAGCCCAACAGACAGGGTATTTATGGCTTCGTCAAGAATTCCGATGTGCAGCCACTGCTCAAATCGGAACTTCGAGGCCTTGCTAGCGTCAAAGACCGCCTTGCTGAAGCCACGGTGGTAGCATTCGATATAGAAGGGGTCCACCAGCGTGGTTCAGAGGCGAGTGAGCTTGGAGTCGCGGTACTACGACCGAGTTCGAAGCCACTTCGCTTCTTCTCGTCTATGTATCACTTCTACAATCAGAACGAGATCGAGGCATTTACCATTCGCATTCAAGAACGGCGATACGGACCTGTTGTTGGAACCATGACCGACGAGACCAAGGAGACTGCTGGCGCAAGACTGTACAAGTTCTTGTCCTCCATCCAAGGCGAACTTATATTGGTTGGTTTTGGCATGACGAGGGAATTCAAATGGATCAGCGATGAGTTTCCGGCCATCGCAGCACTGTTCACTTCTTGGTGCGATGTACAAGAGCTTGTCAGCGATTACTACAAGAGCATGACCGCCGAACCCGACAAATTACTCATTCAATATCGTCAGCCCAGTCTAGATCGAGTCATGAAAGCTCTGAAAATAATTGGATGGCGCTCCAGGCATCAGAAACATGGGGCCGCTGCCGATGCCGTCAAATTTCTGGCTGTTCTTTCCGCACTCTTTTCTGGAAGGGTTTTGCATGACCTACCCAAACCAAGCATTGGCCGCTCATCTCGTCTCCCACACAAGAAGTATGATGAATATAGTGGTAAACGAAATGCGCGTATTACCGCGTGGGATGGAAGTAAACTGCCTTTGCAAACACCAAACGGTTTAGCGGATTTCTGCGCTCCCCATCATGGGTTACTTGCTGTGGGTCTCGATGCAATTGATGTAAACTTGGCAAGAGACAGAAAAAGGATATGGTGGGTATCGTTTCTAACACAAGACGCGCTCGACGAGTTCATTGCCAAAGTGCATGGGTCGCTTTACGAGGGAGTGAAACTGTTCGTTACACCAATGGCTCCACCAAACAAGTATCTAGCCGCCAAAAGGTCGAATGAAATGCCTTGGAAACAGCCGAGAACGGTCAGTAGGTACGATGGCGATGATCTGATAGCAGCTTTCGAGTAAGTCAAGGAACCGACATCGACTCGGATACATTCGGGCTAACGTTTATAGCATACTCAGCACCACAGGTGAATGTGAAGAAGGGTACGAAACCAGCAATACCCGCCTATAATAGCGGCCTAAGCCATGGAGTCACATGTTGTCACCGATGCGTTTGCTGCCTCGCCAACTCGGACAAACGTTCGCCTGGGTCCCCGACACCGACGCAAACAGCTCTCCCGTTAGCTGCCTACAGCCTTCCGGTTCTGATACCGCTCCAACACACAAGCACAACAATTACCAAACATTGCAATCTTAACCGCGAAGGATGGCGTTCGAATCGCTGAAGAGGTCTTTCGGGACTATGATGAGTATTAAGAAGAAGAAAGAGCCATTCGAAGATTCTATCATGACAACCGACTCTCCCGGTCAAAGCTTTGGCAGCCTAAGCTCGTGCGCCATGCCCATTGATAGCGAAGACGCTCCACATGACAGCGGCGTCGATATCAAAAGTCCACCAGTACCGCCTCCAAATACCCAGTCTGATCAGTATAACGACACCGACACTATAGACCTACACATCAACCCCAACCCTATCAAGACTACAACCCAAAATTCTCCCACTACCCCAACATTCACCGGCCTCCCTCCCGCCGTCCGCGCACTAATCTGGTCCTACGCCGCTCCCGCCCCGCGAACCCGTTTCCTCGAACTCCACACCTACAACACCATCGACCACATCCCGCGCCTCCGCTACATACCCCCACTCCCACCGCTCTTCTCCACCAACCAAGAAGCCAGAAACTTTAGGATCTCACATGAAGGTGGGGAGCTCGTTCATTTCACTTCGGAGAACTTTACCGCATTATTCTCCTTTCACGGCCGGAAGATCGGCGGAGAAGAAAATGAGAAGAAGTTCTACTTCAACTCTGACAGGGATATCATCTGGTTGAGTGCGAGGTTCACGGCTGCTTGCAATACCACTGAGACGCTTCGTCTGCAGACACTGTCTTCTATCCTGCCGCCGACTAGTTTGTCTCGTATCCAACGCCTCGTCATCTCGTACTCGGGTCTGGACTCTTACGCGTTCATCGGTCCCTACCTGCGCCCCTTTGCACGTCTTGAGACGTTGTATCTATGTATGAACGATGCGCGCATCAAGGAGAATGTAAAGAAGCTGCTCAAGAAAGGTGTACCAGCTGATGGTGTGACGGCGGAAAAATTGAGAAGCATGATTGAGCAGACTGAGGCTGATGAAACGGATGATGACGAGGAGAGCGAGGATTTGGCTACGGAGAGGTTGATGGTGAGGGCGAGAAGGAGAGTGCTGGAGGTTTATCTGAGACTAGGAGAGTGATGGGTGTATAATTGGGAATTCCGTGTTAATCGAACGGGGTTTTGGTGCATTGGAAGATGCCCAGCGGGAAGTGTATGTAGCATGCGCTCATACGATTGATACCAGCACCTCATACAAGCAAAAACCTGAACATGCGTGGATTCTACATCAACGTTAGACCACCTACTTTGCATGTTTTCATGTTGATGTAGGCTGCAGACCTGTTTAATTTCCCTAGGTTGAGGTGCTAAACGACCATATCACCCAAGCTTGGCGACTCGCCCATTCTCCGCTTTGACAACTCAAAGCTCAATACAGTATGATCCATATAGTACATCATCAAGCGCCATCGTCGAGGCTGGAGCGAGAGCAAGCCCCGTTGATCCGGTCCTTCGATATCTTCTGAAGGGTCAAACATGCCTGGTTAGATGTTAGCCCTGTGATAGACGCTGCGAAGAGATATGTCGAGTATCATTTTACCTTGTATTGGCGCTACAGCTACACCAAGCAGCCGTTCTTTCGGCCCTCCCGCTATCTCCGTCTCATTGCCTGACCGAAACGGCAGAAGGTATTCAAGTTTGAAGCCATACCGCGGCTCCCCAGTGTTCTTGTCTCTAGTATAGTACAGACTGAAGACGCCGACACGACCGGCCGGAGATCCGACTATGAAGATGCCCAGCTCGGGTATCTGGGAGAAGAAGCAGTGTCGGTCGCAAGACATGAGGGAGTCTACCCATCGGCCTGGATGTAGCGGTCGTCTTATCGCGACGATGGGATCGAGAGGCACATTGAGTGATGTTGCGGAAAGGCCTTGGATGAGGAATATGTCCTCTTTGGTGAAGATTAAGAACGGGCCACCCATATGTTCTGCGATAGGCCTCAGGTCATCAATCAGGCGATACGGCGCTCTGTTAGGGCTGCGCAATGTTCCGGGTCGAATGGAAGACAACAGCGTCTCACTTATACCAAACTGCGCTGTATGTTAGTCACCTAACGTGTCTTTAACTTCAAATATGAACGAAGAGGAGATTTGCTCCTCGTAATGCTGCACCTCATACAAGAAAAAATTCGAACAGGTCTGCAGACTACATAGACCCAAAACCATGCAAAGTAGGTGACCCAACATCAACGTAGGCTCCAGGCTGTTCAGTTTTTCCCCAGGTTGGCGTGGCTATACCCTCTGGCTACGTTCTGATTGGATACAGCCGACAAGAGATTGCTTTATATGTTGCAAAAGGTACAGTAGAGACTACACTTACAGATTGAGCCAACTCCTCAAAGGTCATTCCGAGAAGCTGGTGATTCGGATCAATATCTTCTTCGTCGTTGTCTGTCTCGTTCGCTTCACTGACTACTTCGATTTCTTCGTCATCTGTACTGTCCTCTTCGTCGTCTGTGTCGGGATGGTATTGATGAGAGGTGGTTTCGGAAACTTTGAACCGTGTCTTCTGGTCGGAGATATCTAGGAAGTCCCTCGAGCTACATGTCGAACTCGCAGTCATGCCTTCGTCTAACGGTAACTCGTATGCGGATCGCGTGTCCAGCGCTATAGTACCCCATGCCCCGTGGAGAACATTTTGCGCGCCCGGACAGTCGCACAGGAATCTGTGAGATATGTAACGAGGCGGCTTCGAGAGATCGCTTGCGCTGGCGCACCAGCCTAACTGGAATGTAGCCACCTCTTTCTTGGTATACAAATCCCACATCGATGTCTTGCCATCAATGCAGCTGCTCAGAAGCCAGCGACCGGAGTCACCGTAGAATGATACTGCGGGAACATTGTTTGTCGCTTGAAGGGTAAAGATACTGTCCTCTCTTCTGCTGTATGGGAAACCAGGGTTGGTACCGTGGTCTGGGGCTTCCAATTCGCTATCGGAAGCGAGCGCGAATGCGACTATCGTTATCTGATGAGTGTTCTGTTGAGGTTAGAGGAGTAGAGCGTGTGAGAAATCAAGGTTGTCATACCGCACTAATCGCGATCATACGAGTCTTGCGCTGTACAGCCAAGCCCCATGCACTTCTACCGACATTGCAGTGGAGAAACACATGGACACCGTCCTCGTCAGCAGGCTCCTGCACGTTGGTGCGCCGTTCCAACGCTCGGTGTATCTCTCGAGTTCGATATATAATAACGTCCCCATCGTCGCAGGCCAGCATAAGCATCTCCTCGTTGCCGACATAATCGACCAAGATGCGACAGATAGAGTGAGGGTTCGACGGGTCAATTCCATACCCACGAGTGCCAGATTTTGGCGGATGTAACACAAGCTCAGGTTTATCAGATAAACCTTGGTCTGGAAAGCTTGGTTGATAGACATGAAGCTCATCGACAGAGGCAAGAAAGTAGAGATTATGTTGATGCGAAAGGCCCGTCAAGTCGCAACGCCAATCTCGCAAATCTGGAGGCGCGTCTCCATCGGCGAACTACCCTGGATCAGCGGCAAAATCAGAGATTTGATTATCAATGAATCGGCAGATTCTGAATATGAAGTGTGTGACTGTTTGTTGCGCTTTGAGGCCACTTCAAGCTCTTGTCGTGCTCCCAGCAACCCAGTAGGCCGTGTTTAAGGATACAAGTAACTCACCCGTTTTTCTCCGCGATGATCACCCGTTGGTATACAGGCGATATGTGGGGACATGGTAGATACCGCATTCTTGCTCCAAAGGCGGTATTCAAAATGCGAAGTTTGTGTCGTGTGGTGGGCGAGAGAGAGAGCTGGTGGTGGTTGGTTATGACGCGAGCTAGCGCCATCCTATCTAGGTAGGCACCTGGCACCTAGGGCATGGTCGGAATTGTACCACATGCTAGTGCATTCACCACTGCCCAAGTATAATAGGAAGGAACGACCACGGAAAACATTTCACAATATACATGGTTTCTCACATGGAACGAGCGGTTGAAAATAAGCCTTAATGTCACGAGACTTTCAGTGTGTTGAGTATTATAATCTTATAGCGCTATGAACGTCATAGTCATATATGTCCCCCGTCATGCTTTCTCATCCCAAGACCACAGCTGATGCCAGACCACTTGCATAGATCATTGATAGAACATCAACCCCGTTAGATCCAGTATCCGAACGCCGTCTAATGCTTTGCGGTGACCTTGTCGCCAGTGAGCTTCTCAACAGCCTCCTTGGCACTAGAGATTCGTTAGCGAAGATTTGAAGAGCGGTATCGCCAAAACTTACACATCACCCAGAGCAACCATGCAGACCGTCTGCCAAACGCCAAGACCGATTCTAGGAGTAACGCCACGGTAAAGACCCTTGATACCGTTGTTCGAGTAGATGTACTTGAACGCAGATGCAACATTCAGGTTCTTGGGGCGGTTGGGGTCAACAGTCTTGGACTGAAGCTCAACACGGATAACCTCAATAGGCTGGTTCCACGCGCTCAAACCACCACCGAGAGCTGAAGCGGTGATCTTCTCAATCACGCTGAGCTTCTCGCCGTGCTGCTTGTCCATAACCTTGCGAATACCGGTTTCCGCAACACGAGACAGACCGAAGCGGGATCCCCAGTTGGTGACCTGGCGCACCGCGACGGCGTTGACACCACGGTTGATACCGCGGAGACCTTCCGCGCGCCAGATGCCCATGAATGTCTCGAGCGTACCCGGAGGCTTCGCACCGGTGGCTGCGACCTTGTGCTTTGTAATCTCGACCGTCTTCATGCAAGTGCAGAAACCCATGGTGGCATAGGCTTGAGCGAGACCACCCGTCATACCACCAGAGATACCGGCGAGGAAGTCGGGGGCGCCGAATGACTTGGCGTAGTATTCGGCTTCGGAAGCGACGAAGAGAAGGACGGCTCCTTTGGTGGAGGCTTCGATCCAGGCCCATGGAATGAGACCCTGGTAGACTGTACGATTGTTAGCGGGATTGTCCGGAAACTGTAGAACGCATACTGACATCCAAGAACACCTCCACGCGCCCAGATGCGACCAATGGCTCCCGAGAAGCCTTCAGACCTGTTGGCAGCCATGGTAGTCTTGACGACCTCCAACGGCTATCATCGGTCGTTAGTGTGCTTCCGGCGAAGTTTGTTGCCTGAAATTGCATACCTGTCCCAGAGTTGTCACTCTGTCATCTTCAGTCAGCTTCAATTGCTATCTTGGTGGTGAAGTGGGATGTTTACTTACTCAAACATGTTGAGACCAGCACCAACTGCGCCTACAGTCAGCACACGTTCCCGCTCTCCATCAGCACGCAAACTCACGCAACAGATTGCTAAACTTGACCGGCTTCTTCTCGAGCGATGGCGGGCCGTTCCTCGCCATGCTGGGGACGCCCGTCGCAGGTGTGGAGCTCATTCTCTGGGATTCTCTTGTCGAAGATATGCGGCCTGACCAAGGCAAAAGGGTGCTCCGTCGCAAGTGTGAGTAGTATCAAGTGTGTGAGCAAAGCGAGGAAAGGGATGCATAGAAAAACGGTATAAGCTTGCGAGGTGGTCTGTGTTGCTGGTTGACCGCCGTCCGGGCGCGCTATAATTGGGGTTGTCCCTGAGGCTATCGGCCACTTGGCGGAAGGGCCATGTCCCGCAGCTGCTTCCCATCCGCGGCCATGTACCGGGCGAGGGTCTAGCATTGCTTTTGCCTCCAAGTACTCTCCGAAAGTCACTTTCTCCAATACAAGTATGCACATGTTTGCTTTTGCGATTCCATGTACAGCTACGTAGTACACCACCTGAACAGCGAATTGTTGGGTCGGATTGGCGTCGGGTCGCACTGGAGAGCTCAACGATCCGCATCGGTTCCCCATCGCTCAACGAAAGCTACCCACGCTCCGAATATCCCGGTTACTTATCTCACCGTTCGTTGCTTTTTGCGCCGATGCGATTGGGCCAGTCTCATACACCTGAAAATAGGCCGAAGGCACTCACGACGGTTTCATCGCAACAGACACATGGTATGAACTTCATGGAGCGTAGATTTCTGATCATCAAGACGTGAGAATACAGCAATTCGTTCACTAAAAAGTAGTGATGTAGCGCCGTAACGCTCCCATTCCCTATCCTTACATTGCAATTCTACACAGGACAAGGTATCTCTGAATGTTAAACAAATTCCTCCACATTCTCCTGGCCATAGAGCACGTTGCAGTAACGCGCTTACAACTTAGCACCAACCAACTTGGCGTAAGCCTCAGTGCTGAAAGACTTGGGCCTCTCGATGGGGGCACCGACGGCACGGTCGATGATGAGCTGGGGAAGGACACCGAGCGCACGGGATACACCGAAGAGGACGGTGTAGTAGTTCTGCTCAGTGAGACCGTAGTACTGGAGGAGGACACCGGAGTGGGCGTCGACGTTGGGGTAGGGGTTCTTGGTCTTGCCGTGCTCGGTGAGAACACCGGGGGCGATCTTGTAGACCTGGCTGACGAGCTTGAACATTGGGTCGTCGGGAAGGTGCTTCTGGGCGAACTCGCGCTGGGAGACGTAGCGGGGGTCGGTCTTGCGGAGGACGGCGTGGCCGTAACCGGGAACGACTTGGCCAGCCTTGAGGGTGGACCACAGGTAGTCCTTGATGGCCTGGTCGCTGAGGTCGTTGCCGATAGCCTTCTTCATCTTCTGGAGCCAGACAAGGACTTCCTGGTTGGCCAGTCCGTGGAGAGGACCAGCAAGACCGTTCAGACCAGCAGCCAGGGACAGGTAGGGAGAGCTGAGAGCGGAACCAACCAAGTGGGTGGTGTGGGCGCTGACGTTTCCACCCTCGTGGTCGGTGTGGATGGTGAGGTACAGGCGCATCAGCTCAACGAAGTCCTTGTTCTCAGAGAAACCGAGCTGGTTGGCCAAGTTGAAGGAGTAGTCCTTGTCCTTCTGGATGGGAGCAACCTTGCCGTCCTTGTAGATGTTGCGGTAGATCTTGGCGGCGAGGGTGGGGAGCTTCGCGATGAGGTCCATGGCGTCCTCAAAGGTGTGCTCCCAGTACTGCGACTTGTGCATGCCCTTGGCGTAGGCCTTGGCGAAGTTGGACTCGTGCTCGAGAGCAGTGACGGCGAGAGAGAACTGGGCCATGGGGTGGAGGTCGCTGGGGCAGCGGTCGATGAGCTCCTCGACGAACTTGGGGACATCGGAGCGGGCAGCCCACTCGGCGGAGAGGTCGCGGACCTGCTGCTCGGAGGGGACCTCGCCGGTGAGGAGGAGCCAGAAGAGACCTTCGGGGAGAGGCTCCTGGCCGCCGGGGGCCTTGGGGAGGAGCTCCTGGCATTCGGGGATGGTCTTGCCGCGGAAACGGATACCCTCCTCAGAGTCGAGGACGGATCCCTCCCAGACGAGCGACTTGATGCCACGGGCACCACCGTAGACCTGGTCGAGAGTGACCTCGCCGACAACAGTGTTGCCGTGCTCCCTGGGATATGATGTCAGCGGTGCACTGGGGTAGGCGCGGGGCCGGCAGCACGTACTTGCGGAGCTTCTTGATCTTCTCGATCTCGCCGGGCAGCTTGTTGGCGAAGGTCTCCTTCAGCGACTGCAATTGGCCTGGTTAGCGCGCGTCCTAGCCTCTCGAGAGAAAAGTGGCATACCTGAGTCTTGCCGGTGGAGTAGCAGCGGAGGCCATTGAAGGCTGTGGTCCGCAGAGGGGCGGCGGCGCGGAGAGCGCTCGACAGTCGTAGAGCAGAAGCCATGGTAGTGATGTGTGAGGAAGGACAAGAGGGCGGGCGGATGGGGGGGAGTTAAAAGGCTTCGATCGGGACGATGCGAGAAAATATCGGTGGAGCTCGCACGGTCGTCATGGTCGCGCAACCTTGCAGCGAAAGGAATGCTACCCGCGCGGGCAACGTTCGGAAGTCCCTCAGTTCCGGTGCTGTGGAGGGCCAATGGAGTCGAGTGAAGCGTAGTCTCGCACGAGGCTTCTATCGGCAAAAAGAACAATTCGTGATGCCGGCATGTTCATGTTCTGTTCATGTTCATGTTCAATTTCACTTCTTCGCAGACAGGTACGCGGCTGCTACTGCCGGTTTCCGAGCATACAGGCCATA